CCTGAGGCCGTGCTACGGGCGTCCGGGTTCTCCAGGCCCCGCACCGCGGGATCGGGGTCGGTGGGCTCGGGCTCAGCCTTCGCCTGGGGACAGCCGGACCGCCCCTAGCTTCTTGCCCCACCACTCAGCCCCTGCCCCAGTCCCCCTTGCGGTGGTCCTTCTGGGCGTCGGGTGGCTCAGCTCTCATCCCCAAGGCCGTCAGAATGGTGTCCTGGATGATCTGTCGCCTGGTGGTGTGAGTATGGCCACTTTCAGATCCCCTCTACCTCTCAGTCCCCACCCTAGTGCCCACCTGCCCCTGGGGTGGAGGCTGGGGACGCTTGGGGTGGAAGGGAACTTTCTGAACTTCTTTGGCAACCCAGCAGTCACCGCCCAGGTTAAGGGACCTGGGGGCCTTCGTGGGACTCGGGGCGCCGCATGCTTGCCCTTCCCTCTGCAGCCTCCTTGGCTGACGGTGACCCTTCCCACAGACAGGCACACTCGCATCGTGCAGATAGGTATGTGTGGCTGAGGGCACACAGGCGGCACGTTAGGCACTTTGTGGGCGGAGACTCCAGGTGCTTCCCAGCTGGGAGGTCACGTGACTCCACCCAGGCCTCAGCCTTGTCACACAGTCCTGCCTCTCACCTCTGAGTATTCCAGTACCTGGCTCGAATATTCCAGTCTGCAGTCTGGCAGTGACAGGTCTGGTGGCCTGGACCTGATTGCGTACCAGTGGGAGGGGACACTCGGGCTGTCACGCACCTCCTTGAGCGGCTGTGCAGCTGTGCAGCTGTGCTCTGGCATCACCATGTACCCATGGGCCCCCGGTGCAGGCCTGGGCAGGCTGGGGATGTTTGTAAACACCAGGGTGGGGAGGTGGCCTCCAGGGCACTGACTCAGGCACCACAGGTTATGCAAGCCAAGCGGGAAAAACAAGGCAGGGACTGCCACCTCGAACCCCAGTTGTGGCTGTGGGGGGCAGCCACCTGGCAGGGTGAGGGCAGTACATGGTGCCTGCCCTTCACACTCCCTGTGTCTGCTCTTCCAGGCTGGTATTTGGGATGCTGTATCCGTCTTACGCTTCCTACAAGGCTGTGAAGACCAAGAACATTCGTGAATATGTGAGTCAAGAGGGTAGGCAGTCTTGAAGGGCATGGGGGGGTAGCAGGACAGGGGAGCGGGTCCGAGCAGTGGGACGTATCCTGAGTGACAGCAAGGGAGAGAATAGGCCCTGTTTAGGCAGGTGTGGGAGGAGGGCAGGCCACTGGAGTGCCCATGGAAGGCCTTGTGGGTGCACCAGAGTGGGCACGGGAATGAGTGGCAGTTTCCCAGAAGCTCCTGTCTAGCTAGGCGTGGGCGAACGAGCAATGTGGCAGGACAGGCTCTCTGGAATGTCTGGGCCTGGCCAGTCGGGTGGGCGTTGGCCCTGCGTGCTCTGAGGCTGACCTCTGCGCGCTATGCCCCCTAGGTGCGGTGGATGATGTATTGGATCGTCTTTGCAATCTTCATGGCAGCAGAGACCTTCACAGACGCCTTCATCTCCTGGTCTGGCCATGGCGGTCGGCAGGCAGAGGGGTGGGAGCAGCCCCTCCTCAGCCCAGCTCCATAGCTCACAATGTCCCCTATGCACTGACAGGTTCCCTTTCTACTATGAGATCAAGATGGCCTTTGTGCTGTGGCTGCTCTCACCCTATACCAAGGGGGCCAGCCTGCTTTACCGAAAGTTTGTGCATCCATCCCTGTCCCGCCATGAGAAGGTATCCCGGGGGGAGGCAGAGAGGGCGTCCTAGAAAGGAGTGGGAGAGCCCTGGTCTCAAGGTTCGGGATATGGGAACACTGTGTTCTAATCCCAGTCCTGCTGCTCTTTACCTGTGGGACCCGACAGGGCCTGGCCTGGATGGTCAAAGGGGTGCATGCAAATGACTTCCGGTGGTGTGGGGTGCCTCCTAGACGTTGATTTGGGGAGGGAGAGTGGGGTGGGCCAGTGGATGGGGCACCCTGCCCTTGGTGTGTGTTCCTGACCGAATCTGTGACTATATAGGTGCTGGTGGGCAGGGAGGTGTGGCGCCCAGCAGCTTTTCAGGGTCTGCAGAGGGGGAGGGGCTCCTGCTGTCTGCCTGAGCTCCCCTCCCCTGGGTCCACAGGAGATCGATGCATACATAGTGCAGGCCAAGGAGCGCAGCTACGAGACGGTGCTCACCCTCGGGAAGCGAAGCCTCAACATTGCTGCCTCAGCTGCTGTGCAGGCTGCCACCAAGGTGCCGAGCCCAGCCCCTGCCCCACCTTTGCCTTTGGGGCTGTGCAGGGAGCCCAGAGGTCACATTTAGGGCTAGGGTGTGGGGGCAGGCTGAGACCAAGTGTGAGCAGCTACTTCCTCTGGCCCTTTCGTGGCCGTTGTTTCCTTTTCCAGCCTCAAAGGCCTGCCTCTGGCAGGTGGCTGAACTGCTCTCAGTTCTGAGTCTTATGCCACAATGATAAGCTGCAGGTTGGCCCTGGATTTCCCTGGCTGAAGCCCCTTCTTCAGGAGACCTCTCCTCCTAAATGACACAGTGCCCCCTTCTCAGAGTCAGGGCGCGCTGGCTGGCAGGCTGCGGAGTTTCTCCATGCAAGACCTGCGCTCCATCCCCGACACCTCTGCCCCCACATACCAGAATCCCCTGTACCTGGAGGATGAGGTGCCCCGCCGGAGACCACCCATCAGTGAGTGGCCGAGGGACCCAGAGCCGCCCTGGGAGGGCCTAGAGGAAGGCTGGGTGTGGTCCTGGGCCTTAAGGCTGTGTAAATGCCCAGCTCTGCCTCCTGTGGCCTTTTCCCAGGGTACCGGGCAGGAGGCCTGCAGGACAGTGACACAGAGGATGGGTGCTGGTCTGATACCGAGGCAGCCCCCCAGCCACCTGCCCGGCCCCGAGAAAAGCCGCTGAACCGGAGCCAGAGCCTGCGCATGGTCAAGAGGAAGCCAACTGTGCGGGAGGTCAGTGTCGAGGATGGCCCGAGGGGGGCTGGTGGTCCTGGCACCTCAGCCCACACCTCTCATGGTGTTCCTTTCCTCTCAGGGAACCTCCCGCTCTCTGAAGGTTCGGACACGGAAAAAGACCGTGCCCTCTGACATGGACAGCTAGGGCCTGCACAGCCAGGACATCTTACCTCATGCCCAGAAGGGCACTGGGAGCTGTCTGCAGGGACCTAAACTGCACGTCTGGCCTGCCTGCCCCAGTGCCTGTTTCCTGCGGGGGAACCCCTGGGGTGAACCCGCAAGGTACCAAAGCCGCTGGGCCCACAGCCCTATTTATTGCCTTCCTCAACCCTCCACCTTCCCAGGTGTGGCATTAGAGCCCTCTAAACCCTTGTCGATGAAACCAAAAATCTGCCCAACTGTGTGCCTTCCTTCCTGTCCTTCAAAGTACTTGATAGCCTTTTCCAAGGCCTGGTGTGTGTGTCGCAGTTGTGTGTTTTGTGTTGGTGAATGAGGTCAGGCTTGTGAACGTTTTGATAAATAAATAAGTAAAGATGTTCTGCTTCTCCTGATGTGTCTTCCCACTGCTCCCATCACACATGCAGATTGAAAGCCCACCGCAGGCCAGAGAGAAGGGCAGGGCAGGCTGCAGGGGAGCGGGGTTCAGAGCTGAGCTGTTGACAGATCCTGCAAAGCAGCCAGTACAGTCACTGATAAGCTCTTAGGGAGCTCTGAGGATACAGATGGGAGAGCGAGGGGCCAGTCCAGAAGAGGGTCAGAGTCTGAGAAGCTGTCAGTTAGGAGGGGGCCTTGGACCTCCCTGAGCCTGGGGGAGTGGTCTGGGATCTCCCTGGGCTTTTGCATTCTGCAAATATTGCTCAGGTACCAAGCGGTGGCATGCACTCTTGAGGAGTGGCCACGCGGGGGCAGCAGCAGCCAGCATCCAGGCTGCCCCCAGTTTCCAGGTCAAGCAGGGTGGGGCTCGGAGCCTGGCCAGAGCCTCGCCCTGCCGGGGCCTGGCTGCTGCCTGCTGCCTGCTGCCTGCTGCCTGCTGCCTGCTGCCTGCTGCCTGCTGCCTGCAGGGACGGTGAAGAACTCAGGCAGGGTCTCTGAGGGCCCTCCCTGCTGTTTCTGGTCACTGATGTGTGGCCTGCTTCATGCACAGGGCCTCCTCTGCTTTCCTGAGACCCAAGCTCTTTGCCTGGGCTGGCTCCACTCCGTCGCCTCCTCTGATCTGTGGGTCAGCCCTCTGCTGCCATGGATGCTGCTGTCGCCACTGCGACTGAATCTGAGGCTGCTTCCCTCTCCTACCCCCATGTCTGCTCTTCCTGCTTCGGAGTAAGCAGAGAGGTGGGTGAGGGTGCTGGATGAGAGGAAGGGAAACGAGCTGATAACTGAGTGGCCTGAGAGCAAGGATTAACTCTTGGTGTGGGGATTATCTGGTTTTATTGTGGTTTACTGCCTGTGTATTGGTGCCCAATAGCTTCCTATATGGCACTCTCCTGCATCCTGGTGTAGTTTTACCTCTTCATTAATTCATTCACAGTCCGTATTGAGCATCTACAGGTACCAGACACAGGTGTGAAGAGTAGTAGTGGTTGGCAGATGCTGCTGTGAGCCCCAGACATGTGCATTAATCCTCTCCACACTCTCAGGCTGTAGGTATGATTATCGTAATCTTCATTTATTTCACAAACTGGAGAACAGGCACAGAGAGGGCAAGTGATTTGCCCAAGGTCACATGGCTCATAAGTGGCAGAATTGGGCTTTGAACCAAGCAGTCTGGCTCCAGAGTCAATGCACTTAATCACTGAACAGTACCCAGGTAAATAAGCTGTTCCCTGCCTGGGAGGCAAGGAGAAGGAGGCTAACGTGTATGGAACATTCGGTGCATGCCTGACCTTGTGCTAGAGATGAGTTCCTTGAATTCTGCCAAGCAGCCCAGCAAGTAGGGGCTCCGCTTGCACTCTGTCCTGGAACAGGGGCTTAAGGTGAGCAGGGTCCCCTGGGCAAACTGGTGGAGTTGGCAAAGCTTTGTACTCTCCGCCTGTGGCACAGGCAGGTCCCAGTCCTTTTGCTGTCTCTGGCCTCCCCCCACTCCGAGAAGACCTCCACGGGGTGCCCTGCATCCTGTCACTTGCTCCTTTGCAGTCGTCATTCTTGCTCTTTCAAGGACTTACTGCCTGGAACAATCATATTTTCTCCCCCACTGAATTGTCACTTCATAAAGAACAGATGTACCTTACTGTTATATCCCAGCCCAGAACAAGTGGCTTAAAGGAAGCAAAATATTTTTGTAAGTGTGTGATTCGATGAAGTCTTGCTTGTTCTCTGACTCCCATGCTCAGGTATCACTCCTCCGTGAAGCCCCGACTTCCTTAAAGAGGGATTAGAAGGAGGTGGTCATCGTTTGTTAATGTGTCCATCTCCCTAGCGGTCACCCCTGTGTCCCCACCCGGGCCTGACCCCTCTAAGGCCAGAGGAGCAAATGCCCTGAGGCCAATTGTGAGCTTCTCCAGAGCCAGGGAAGAGGTGGCCCTGTGCTTTGGTCTCTGTGCTGACTGGTGAATGGCCGACTGCAGTTGTGTAGGTTCCAAGACATCCTGAGGCCAGAGAAGGCCAGGAGAAGTCCAAGTCTAGGGCAGTTCTGGTCAGGTACATACGTGATCCTGAGACTCAGGGTACTGGCTCTCGGCTGGGCCTGCCCCTCTGCCTCTGCCCAGTGGTCCACCCTCTGGATGGGGTCCCTGGCCCACCCTTCAGACCTCTGGCCTCTGGAGGAAGGCTGGGCAGTGCTCTACCTGCCCATGGTCCCCAAACTGCTCAGCAGCCCTATGACCGCTTCCCCAGGCAAGATGAAGGCTGGGAAGGAACCGGAAAGCCCTTGGACACACACACCTCTACTTTGTCCCACTGGTCCCAGCCCCATCCTCAGTGCCCCCTGCCCCGCCACACCAGCCTGGTCTCCTTAGAAGGGCTTCTCCACTTCCTCCCTGCGTGGTGCAGACCATCCTTCCATCTCCTTCCTTCTCGCTTTGCCCCAACTTCCTCCACCATCCTCTGGCCCCCCAGGGGGCTGCTCTAACTCCCTGTCTCTTCAGCCGCCTCACTGTATCCTGGCCTGCTCCCTGCTCCTGGCATCCATGTCACTACACACACTGGCCCATGGCTGTATTTTTAGCTGTCACGCTTAGCAGCAGCACGATTCAACAGTGCCCTGGCCCAGGCTCAGCTGGGGAGGCCTGGTGGGTGCCCTCCAGCCTCCAACTTGAGGGGGTTGAGGGGGCGAGTACACAGGCCCTTGCCTCTGGGCCCCACCAAGCATCAGAAAATAGGGGTCCCAATAGCTGGGGGGTAAGAGGGCAACCTTAGGGCCAGAGGATGCTGCCTGCTGCTGGAGGACCCTGCTGGGCATGGGGTCCTGAGCCTGGGGCAGATGGAGGTTAGACTGCAGGGTGGGGAGGTTGGGGGGAAGAAGGGCTCCAGAAGAGGAATTAGGTCAAGGATGTGGGTGGGTGGGCAAGAAGGGAGGGTGGCATCTGCCTCTGAGCTTCCTCCTGGCCCCAGAAGCATCTCCACACTTCCCTTCCCCTTCCCCTCCCCTCAGGACCTGGGAGAATTCTCCCGGTATTCCCCCTCCCCCATGCCCCCCTCCCCAGCACTGCCACAGGGTGGGGGTGGGGTGGGGGGAGGCCAGCCTCAGCTGTCTGGAGGATGGAGGGGCTGGGAAGCAGGGCTAGGTGCCCAGACGGCCGCGTGTGTGGGAGGGGATGTCCTCAGATGCCCTCCACCCGGCAGTCCCCGCTCTGACGTGGGTGCCCCCCCTCTCCCCGCCCAGATTAGTGGCAGCTTGGCCTGACTCTCCGGGGCTCCTTCCCCCGCCCTGCCTGCTGCCCACCCTGGGCAGGGGGCTGCTCCACCGAGGGGCATTGTGCTTGCCCAGGTAAGGGGCTCTGGAGCTGGGAGAGGGCAGCTGCTGTCAGTGCTGCTGTGCTTGTCAGCACGAGTGTGTGTCAGTTCGCGCCGCGCACGCGTGTGTGTGTGTGTGTGTGTGTGTGTGTGTGTGTGTGTGTGTATGTGTGTGTGTGAGTGCACGAAGGGTCGGCACCACTGGGGCTAGGCCCATGTGTGTCTGGGGGTACCCACCAGCTTGCCTCTGTCCCTGGGTCTGGCTTTGTGTCCGTGTGCTGGGTGGCTTTCCTTTTGTGTTTGTGTCTTTTGTGTGTCCTCAGCTCTGCTCCATCCTCAGGCGCAGAACAATCAGCTACAAGGGCTCTGGCCCGTGGCATGGGCTCTAAGGCAGGGTGGGGACCAGGGGGGTAGAGAAGGGGTCCTCTCCCCCGTGACCCAGCTCCCACTGGCCCCTGGACACTCCGGAAGCCTGTCCTGAGAGCCCTGGTCTGGACCACGGGCTGTGACTTAACAAGGCTGACATGGCAACTCGGGGTACTGCGGGCTGGGGGGAGTGGAACAGACCCCATCTCCCTGGGGATGACAGCCACGGACCCTCTGGGCACTGGATGGTCCAGGTTCCCACTCCAGCCTCTCCCAGGCCCCAAGCCACAGGACTCTGCCCTGGACTCTCCCCCGGCTGGGCTGCTGAGCAGGCAGGCCAGGGGCCAGAGACCAGGGACCACCACCTTGCCTGAAGCCAGTTTCGGAACCTAGGGACTCCAGGCCCTGTTAGACTCTCCAAAGTTCTCTCCCGTGGCCCACTCAGGTCCAACCACCTCCGGGGGAGCTGGGGAAGGGAGAGAGTGTGAATAACAGCCATGTAAACAACCCCTGCCAGCCTGTCCTGCCGCAGAACCGGCCTTTGGGGGAGGCCAAGGCCTGGAGAGATCTGTGCCAGTATGGCTCAAGTCATGCCTGGTGCCGGCCCTGTTGACCCCTCTCCCTGCGGTTCAGCAGGACCCCTCCTCTTTTCTGCTATGGGTGAAAGGCTGCCTGCCTTCACTTCCGTCTCTTGGGTGGGCAAAAGACTCCAGCCTGGCTCCCCAGTCCCCCCTCTATAGGGATGGTCGCGTGACTAGGGAGCAGGCTGGAGACCTCCAGAACTCATCCATGGGATGGGGAAGTGGGAGAGGTCACTTCTGTTTCATGCAGGGAGGCAGGAGAGTGGAGGGGCAGGAGATGGGTGCCTGCGGGATGGGAAGTGCCCGTTGGGCGTGTGGGTTTCTGTGTGTGTGTCTGAATCTGTCTGTGTGTGTTTGAATCTGTCTGTGTGTGTCTGTGCTCTGAACCACCCCCGCAGAGGGGCTGGGATGCTTCCTCTGGTGGAAGGTGCCCTGTTTGCCCATTTCCTCTCCTACTCTGGACTCCCTCCCAGGGGCCACTCCTCTGGGCTCCTCTCCAGTGCGCAGCTAGGGAACACGGGGAGCCCTGAGGATGGCGAGACCCTCAGAGCCTGGGCTGGAGCTCAGGGTGGAGCTTCTCTCATCCCATCACCACTGGACACTTGGCAAAACCCAAGGCCAGGCCCGGAGACAGGACAGATCTGACGGCAGACCCGCCCAATCTCCTAAGCACAGCACTCAGTGACACTGGGACCAATCTGGGGAGGGCCTGGGGTGGGGGACCGTGAACAACAGCTTGGCTAGCTGAGGATGAGGCAGGGCAGAGGGCAGCCGGCCAGGCTGGAAAGGACCAGGAGAGAGTGGTCCAGCAGAAAAAGGCTGGGCCGGCGTGGGTCACGGAGCCCATCACTGACCCGTGAGAACCCAGTGACTGCCCCTGCCAGCTCTAGCACTGTCCCCTCCCAACCTCCCTGCCCTAACACCCCAGGGGGCACCCCGCCCCACGGTGGCCTCGTCCGGCCCCTCCCGCCCTTTGCTCCAATTCCCGGGCTTGGCACCTATAGTGGGGGTGCTGCCGCCTGCCAGGCTCCGGGGCCGGGCCCACGGGAGGGTGGG